CAAAAAAATTAAGTCAATGTATTTATGTCTGTGTATTTTGTTAATTGTACTAGAAAGAATAAATAATAGTAAATAAAATCAAAAATACAACATAAAACACATTTTTATGTCAACCAATTAAAGTGAAACTATCCTTATTTCGGCCAGTGTATGTATATACATATATCTTCCTTATATCAGATCCATGAATGCAAAGTAATTGAATATAATGATGCTATAAGAAATTCGTTTAGCATTATAGACTTTAACATTTATAGAATTTAAAATTTATAAAATTATACATCTATGTCTGGCACATATAAGAAAAAATATATATATATATACATCATAAAAAATATACCTTGAAATCAAGAATTAATCTGATATGAAATTTATTACGATTTTTGAAGCGATTTTTAAAAATCGATTCTTTGTATTAGATTTTTAAGGGAATCGATTGTCCATGATTCGATTCAGAATCGTTTTGAGAATCGATTCTTTGAAGAGAATCGAACATCCCTAAAGTATGTGGTTTCAACAGGACGGCGCGCCACAATCCACATGCCACAAAGCCATTGAAACAATGAATTTATTGCGAACGAAATTTCCCGATCGAATAATTTGACATAATTCTGCAGTCAATTGGCCGCTTAGATCGTGTGATTTAACGCCGTTAGACTATTTCTTATGGGGCTATGTGAAAGATCAAGTCTACGCAGATAATCCACAATCCATTGAATCCTTGAAAATCAACATCCGACGCGTAATTGGTGAGATAGAGCTGCAATTATGCAAAAATGTAATCGAAATTTTTGACAAAAGTATCGACGTCTGTAAACGTGGTCGTGGTGGTCATTTGTCCGATATTCTTTTTGATTCATAAATTGTAAACTTTCTACATTATATATCAATAAAGAAATACAGAACTTTCATCCAAAATGTGCTTTAATTAAAATTTAAAAACAAAGTCCCTGTGGAAAAGACCTGTATTATTTTTACGTACATAAGTACTCAGAATACATTGAGTTGTGAGCAGCAAAAACGCAGGTACGTATTTTTTCATTGAGCTTTTTCTGGTGGTGGAGAAGCAAGATGGTCGGAAAATTACTGGAAAGAGGTTCCTCGTAATTTCTATGAACACAAACCGTGTTTTGTGTACCTTTCTATTGCCTGTTGTATAGTCGAGTCGAATCGTCCTCTCTATTGTCACTGAGAAATACTGCTGTTTCTGTGCAACTGTGACTCCCCCACACGGTTGCGAGTGTAAAGTTTATTTTAGCTATTATAACGATGGTCAGTAAGGGTGAAACTGTTTTCTCTTCTGTTTGTCTTTCGTAGATCATGCCAAATCATATTTTATTTAATGTTACAAAATTAAACTGAATTTTCGATACTTTTATTTTCATGAAGACATTACTTCGAGGTATTACGTTTGTAATATTCTTGTACTATACTTATCTTTCAATTTACTCCAATTTTCTATAGATACTTTTTACTTCGGAATTAAAATCTAAAAGTTTATAGAGGAAGGTTCAAGAAATTAGGAGCTAATTTTATTTTGCCGGTATCGTAGTGGGAAAAGTGATAAAAACCACGACAAAGTTGGAATGGTGTAATATGTATTAGTGTGTATTTTACATAATGTGTATTTTGCAGAAGACGAACTGCAGCAAGGGGCCTACTTTTATATTTGTTTAACCGTTTGGCATATTGTTGAAATAAACGTCAAAGTTGAGACTACCTATTGATGAAATGATAACGAAATACATGTGTACTCTTTATTCGTGATGAAACTGAATAAAAGTATTCTGTAATTAGCTAGAGATGGCGTAAACTGCTACTTGTGAATCACGAGTGATTCGATCACATTCGTTCCCAATCGCGGTGATTTTTCACAGTGATTCGTGATTGTCAATGATCGTCTTTGATTGGTGGAGAATATAACAACAGTTCTTTGCACGCGTCACATAACTTGTGCATTTTATATTAATTACATAAAAACAAAAATGCTAGTTACATCGTATAAATTAAAGAAATAATAAGAAACAATGAAGAATAATGAATAAATTAATGATTATACATTCTAATCAACAATATATGTTTAGGATATATTGTTCCTTTAATTATTAGGATATATTATTCCTATAATTATAGGAAATCATTCTTTTATAATTTAATTTTTTCTACTGATTTTTCAAAATGCAAATATTAATGTAATTCATTTTAAAATTATATTGAATATGTGTTTCTTTAAAGATCAAGAATTAAGATGACAGTGAGAAATTTCACTGAAGATAAAAAAATCACGATCACGGACATAAATGAAGTTAAATCACGACCATGATCGTGATTCTGCGATCACTTTGATAAATCATTATTAGTGATTTTGCACACCATCTCTAGTAATTACACAACTATCAAATGCAGTATACATACTAATATCTGGCACTTCAGCACAAATTGGTGAGGTATTCGTCATTCGAATACTTTTTGAAATGCTTTCTGCCCATTACTGTTTCGGTGTCCTTTTCACTTTGATCTTTATTTAAACATATTTAGATATCTATAATGTAAGAACAATTAACATTATTTTATTTTGGAAAGTCAAGGGAATTATTTCGTGTAAAAGCAACTGTAGAGTCAGCCAAACTTGCAAGCTAAATTTTGTCCAATGCCTGTTATAAAGTTGTGGCTACAAGTTTTATGTAAGATTTGCTATAAACACCTTGTGCGCACATTGGCAGCAACATAGGTAGCAAATTGGCTTGCGCAAATTTTGTTCCGGTTTTCCCTCAATTTGACAAAGGTCATATTGCAAGACTTTCTGCCAGTTTGTTGGACCATTTTGTCATCTGACGTTGCTTACAAAAACCAAGACAAATGCGGTAACAGATGACTATGGTTTTTTAGACACCTTTTTCATTTATTGCTAACAATTTTCTCTAAACTTGTACACAATTGCTTATCAGGGTGAATAATTATTACTGTAAAAGCTCCAGATACCTTTAAAGTTGAAAATTTGCAATTTCTTTAAAAATTGATTCTTTCAAAAACTGTACAGTCTGTGGAAAAACGGTTTACAGATTCGTATTCAGCTCATATAGATCTATTAGGAACGCCCACTGAAGGTTACAAAATCGAAAAGAAATTAAAACTTGTTGTACTGTGTTATTTTCTTGTTTTAGAACATTTCGCACCTTGCACATTTCATTCCCAAATTACAAAAGAATTATTTTTTTTTGTATTTTTGTGTGCATTACATAACACATAAATGATCCACAAGAACGTTTTGTCATTTTTAAAGCGTTTAATGACATTTCTCATTTGTTGCCATTTGGCAAATTTTCTACATTTATCACAGTTATGTATAATAATTTATATTATAAAGCTATTATATGTATATTTTACTTTATTTTCTTACCTTTGGTCAATAAACCCCATTGAAATACTTGAAACAATATGAGATCTCAAGTTTTTATTGTATTGCCAACAATGGTCAACACTTTAACTCCACTAAATGAAAGAAACTATGTCTATATAAGTGTAATAACTAGACTGCGGATTTATGCATTTATAGTCTACGGGGCTTTGTGAAATAGGAAACAATAAGGAACAATAAAGGAAAATAGTATCATCAGATGCTACGTGGTTTCTATTTTATTCTTAATGCAATAAGATAGTTAAGAGAAGAAAGAAACTCCTACTTTTGCTCTTTATCTTAATGAATCACTTTATAAAATGTTATTTTGCATAAAAATCCGCAGTCTAGTAATAACTGTGTGTACGTTAAAAAACATAATGTCTTATTTTACCGATAAATTTTCAAATGCATGGTAAAATTCGTCATCTATAAAAGACTTGAAGGAAACATTATATATCTACTCACAAATATAAACATATACATGATACTAATGTTTTATATCATATTTTATTATCACGTAGCCATACGGTTAAACAGGAACGAAAGGGTTACTTAGATTCTTCAAATATGAAATTGTAAGTAAGAAAAGCACGATGCAATGTCAATACCGAAGGTAAAGATGAAAAGGATAATGAGAAAGAATACAAGAGAAGAGTCATCGTCGAATAAAGGACACTGCAGGTTCTCAAATTGCATTGAAACCGGGCACCGACGCATCGCATGGGTTTCATATGACAACCAGACCACCGATGACGATGCTGTTTTTCCTTCGCCCCAAATTATACTGTGTTCCTGATTACAAATTCAACATTAGCAATCGTAAATCAAATTCGTTTTGTTATGAATAGTTAAAACCATTAAGGTACAATCATTCAAAGAAGAAACATGTATGAAAGTCTGCGTAACGGGTCCGTCGTATTATTGATGGGGTTGAATCCTGTTGAGGACATTTAATGTTGCAACGCTCGATGGAGACATACGTAAACAATATAATTTCAAGATGGTATAAAACTTTCGTTTATTATTTAACACATTGCGTTTCAGTCTCGAGTATGAGCATATTAATAAATTATAAGGTACATGACTTGGTTCGATTTATATTACAATCTTATATTAAAAACTTATTTATCACGCTGTTGCTATATTACAAAATGTACAATTGTTTTCTTATTTACAATTTTTATAAATAGACACATTTTACATGCTCTTGCATCGCATCTCGCGCGATTAAAATTATATTAGTACAATTAATGCTATTAGAACGTATAAATATTTCATGTAGCCTCCTACGAAGAAAAAGAACTAAAATGAAGAAACTTTTACGAATACACTTCCAAGTAATATTTACAGACAAGAAAGTCAAATGGGATTGCATGTCCATGACCAATACGATTCACATAATCGAATGAAAGAATTCTAGAACAGAGGTCACATTTATCTAAGTTCATTTAACGGAAACTTACTATATTTCATGTTCTACGCGCATGAACCTGTAATCAAGACGTTTTAAAAATCTTCTGCCATTTATAAATTTCCTATTCATACAATATTGGAAAGTATACATTTGCTCAAATTATCTACGGAAAATATTCCACAGTTTTCACTGTAGCAAATCGTACAGAGCTGTAATATAAGATTGTGCCATTTGTAGTGTCTCGTATTTCGATAATTGCCTATCGTTACCCAAAGACGGTAGATAAGTTCTCAATCTATCAAATGCTTTGTTTAGATTCTGCATTCTTCTTCGTTCCCTTGCATTCGCCGCTAACCTGCGTTTTCTAACAACCGTCGAACTGACGTATTTCCCTCTTCTTCTGACGAAGTCCCGGTTACATTGGATGCCACCAGTTTCGGATCGAGTGTGATCTGGACTGTCGCTCATCTCAAGATCTTCTTCGCTGTCCCCGTCTACAATTCGGTCTGAAAAATTGCTAGAATTGCTAATGACACTATCTCGACGGGACTGCGCCTTTTCTTCGTCAGCTTCGCCTTCAGCATCAAAAGTTCCATCAGTATCTGCGTCCATGCTGTTTACTTCCTCCGTTAGGTCTATCGTGTTCATACTATGTTGTGCTATTTGTGATCCCATCTTCGATAAATTTCGGTTCGTACCACACCTTTTGCTCAATTCTTCCACCGAACCTAATAGCCGGTAAGTCACAGGAGTACCTATTGTATCAGGCTCGGATGATATAGATAAAGTTGTAGCAGGACTAACCGATCTCAGGCTCGCAGTCGGACTTGGCGTGTGCCAACCGTCACTGCAGTTGCTATCATAGACAATGCACCGAGGTATCGTAATAGTGCTTACTGGAGGCAGATCAGTTTTGTTCTTCGAGTAGGGGTAATTCGGCGAATCCACGTACGTGTAGGATACTAATTCTTTTTCTTTGGACGGAAACATGTATCCGTAACGAAACATTTCTTGGAGTTCCATACTAGTTTACGAATAATTTCCAGATCGTAGCAGGTACGGAACTGAATGTCCTTAATAGAATTATGAGACGTTGATATCTCCACTAATTTTCCACTGTATTGGCACCAATTCACGAGAAAGAAACGAACTGAAACGGAATGAAACGAAACGACACGAAACGAAACGTACACGCACGCCAGACCGGCTGTCAGGGTTATTCTGAAGTAGATTGGTACAACGTCAGGGGATTTATACGTTTTCGGTGCGAGGCACCCTCGTGCAGCACGTGCCGTCTAACCAATCAGAACTTGGCAGAATGCCCCACCACGGGGTGTAGGGTGTAGTAGGGCCAACCAAGCCCGAGTAAGCGTTTAGGTAGTGCAACAGGTGGCCCGGCGCCTCCAATCTACACGATCGTGTCTACAGAACCGTGCAGTCATTACCTGGCTCCTTGACAGATGTATGCACGAGCCTACCTATACCTATATACATATTTACATATGTACATTAACGTGTACATACGATGATTCTTAAGTATCACGTAAACGTATATACATATTCTATAAACATACAGTTACTCGATTTAATATTCGGACACCATAGTACTTGCGTGATTATTGCTTATATACTTACCTAAAATAAGGTTATCGAATTTTTTGATCAGTAATTGGTTGAAACGAATCTTCTAATTTCCAAATATGTTAGATAAATTACTTCGTGGTTTATCGTTTCCTGTGTAATAAATCATAAATCAAATTAGACGCAACATTGATGTCGAAAACATATTCGGACACGTAAAATGAAATAACGTTTTTCTATATACACTCAAACCTGTTTTTCTGCGGGGGATAGAGATCGCATAAAAGAGGAACGCAAAAACAAAAATATTCCGAAACTTCATAAGTAGCTGTAAAAATATTGTTCGCAGCACATTTTAAAAAGAGTCTCACATAGAACATGACTCAAAACCTCACGATGTAACTAGAAATAGCTTTTTCAAACGAGATAAAAAAATTAGTTTACACATGGGAACATTTTTAAACATTTTATTTACTTATATATTATATATTACACATACGAAAATTTTCACAATGTACATATAAAAATTATTCTTGGCAGTCAAGAACTCGGATTTTCTTGCGATGAACTGGTTCAAAATCATTTTCGTCACTTGAAGTAGCTACCTCGCACTCGTTCAGAGTTGACTTTTATTATTTTATTCTTTTAATTTCTTACTTTTTATTACTTTTTATTCATATTATGCATTTTGATGGACATTTTTTTTATATACTGCATAAATAAAAATCGCATAGAAAAGGATCGCACAAAAACAGGTTTGAGTGTATACAGATACGAACAAAATTATGGTAATTTTAATATTTTGTTGGATGTCCATGTTGCCTAATAACATGGTCTAAACGTGTCGGCATATATGAAATGATTTTAAATACATAAGTTTGGGTAATACGTCTCCACTCTTCTATTAGTCGTATTCTTAAATCTTTTGTTGTTCTGGGTGTCGTCCGAATGTTACGATCTGATAAATCCCAGAAATTTTCTATTGGATTTAAATCCGGTGACTGTGGCGGAGCATGAAGCAATTTCGAACAATTATGTAATAAATATTCCAGAACTATTCGTGCTTTATGTTTCGAATCATTATCTTGGTAGAACTTGAAATTGTTATGTATATCCATATTCGTTGCATTTTTTTTAAATTTTGTTTTGATATTTGTAAATATTTGTTTTTATCTAGAATTCCATCAATAAAAACTAATTTTCCTATTGCGGCAGCTTAAATACAACTCCATACCATCAAGCCTCGTCGACCGTATTTCACCGTTGGTTTGATACTATTATATTTGGAATTGCTCATTCAGTTTACGCCACAATTAATTTTCGACTGTTAGATTGAGAACGCCATGACTGTGTTTTACAAATAAATTCTTTAACGAATGTTACACGTTTCTTTCGATTGATTTGGTTGATGTATGGCTTTTTATAAGTCACGCTACCATTATAGCTAGCTTTTTTAAAATCATTGCGAACTATATCCAGATGTACCTTTTTTCCAGATTCTTGAAACAGTTCTGCGATTAAATTGGGAGCACTTAATCCTGGATTGATCTTCACTTTTCGAATAATTTTACGCTTACCATGACATGAATATACAAAAGTAACTTATAATTAGAAAAAGCTAGTTATTGACAAAAAGTTATTCACTAGGGTGCGTTACACTGAATATATGAAACTGACCGAACTGCTACACGCACTTGATGTTTACAATCATAAGAAATCTACGAACTGACTTTCTAAAGCGAATAAAATAAAATAATTAATTTGAATATATTTGTAAACTGAAACGTGTGCTTTACCTTATCACGGTCCAGAAAATTTGATAACCACATTTCAAGAAAGTACATAGAGCAATAATTACGTAAGTAAAGAGGTCGTCGAATATTAAATCGAGTAACTGTAGATACAGTACCGGACAAATGAATTCAAACAAAGTCATTTTTCGTTGTACTTGTAGTTATGGTGATGTTACGAAAGTTCTGCCCTTCGGAGTGTTTACTCTTGAACTAACACAAGCTTTCATGAAAATCACACGCAGCTACCGACGTATCACAAAATATAAAATAACTTTTATCTGTAGTTAGCTAAACAAAATTATTCGGACATTTCATTCGCAACTACAAATTATATTATATTATTTATTTCACCCACTCTTGGATGGTACGACGTAAAAATTCACCAAAAATTTTCAAACAAAATATCATTGACGGCTCAAATGGAGCGCCATTATTCGTAGTTTCTCAATGTGTGGACACCCCCAAATAGACGATATATTCAACAAAATAAACAATTTGATCGAGGAGGGCATTTAGAAAATATATCAAATGTGGTCGACCTAAGAAAATAAGAATTATAAAGGGCTTTTCAACAGGCACTTTGTTTTTAAATTTTAAATAAACCACACGTAATGTAACATCAGTAGTATCCTTGATTCAAATAATACAGGAAACGGTTTTCGTCCGAAAACATTTCTGCGGTATTGTACGTAAACACGATCTTTTTTCAATTTATCCGATAAAATAATTTAAATCACGGCATAGTTGGATCCTTTCGAATGTAACGGATACACATTACAGTATAAAAAACCTTAAAAAATGTCCATCAAGAGTAAATAAGAGCAACTCTAGTAGGTATACATGCATGTCAGGTTGTGTATACAGGGTGCGAATAAAAATGTTGACGTTGTCACAGTGGATTCTACATGTAAAACTAAGACGAAAGTTATGAATGACGAAATTGAATTTGAGGCTTTTACTAAGTGCAGAATTTGCGGGAAAGTTAGTCTTTGATTTATTAAACCCAAACTAACCTAATTAACCTCTATCTTGCACAGAATGAAATCTAATCATAATTTTAAACATTTTGGAAACATTTCTTATACGCCGTTTAAGACATTACCATAGAGTTTTTAAAAACTCTGTAAACGTTCCTAAAAAGTACAGAGAATGTTACTTTTACTCATTCGAAAAATGTTCTGAGAATGTTGACACAGGACGTCCTTAGGACTATTATGCTATTTGGGATGTTATACATCTTAAATTCATATCTGAATAATATACTATATAACCGTTTCAGTATTTTTTTCTATTGCTGTTGCCAGTGTTAATTAGGTCCAGGTATGATGCGTTATGTATAAGAAAGTTTCAGTGGGTGTAAACATTGTTTAAAGATTTAGAAGGACTAAGCGAAATCAAATTGGTGACGGATGTATATAAAAGTTGCATACACTACATAGTGTGTAATATTTTGGGGAGTCACAAGAATGAAACGGCCGACACGCGAGGCTTTACGCCATCGTTTGTTCCAACCATCACAGTAATTCATTGGCAGGAGCGGCTTCTTTGATAATTCTAAGGCGTGTTAGCATTTCTATGGCGTTGAATTGTATCGGTCGTTTTACCGAAGCGCTAAAAATCATTCGTATCTGGCCACTATTGTACAATGCCTGTTGGACAGGTTAGAACGTTTAGCCATTTATCTCGTCATTGATGTTAATCAGAGTGGTTTCGGTCGCGGTAGAAATCTTTTGTGTAGACCCGTATAATTCCGTTTGTCACGCGTAGAGAACATCCTTGGTATACACATACACTACCGGCCAAAAGTATGGTACCAGGACTAATAATTAATTAATGCAGAAGGAAAATATTATTCTACAGAGATTTAATAAAAGTAATCTGCTAAAACTGGTGAGAAATGATTTGTAGATATACAGATTCCGTAAATTTGATCACGTCTTTACAGAATATGGAGTTAGTGTTCCATCAATCATGAACACTGGTCTCACACTTTTGGCCGGTAGTGTATGTACAGTCGCTGATTCACGCACATACAGTAGACATTCGGTTAATGTAGTCCAGTTTGTTGCATCTTAGGAACGCCTATCGCTCACATGTCCTTCTCACACACGTGCGCGCACCCCACTCTGTCGCCCAGCAAGGAAGGAACGGATACATATGGTGTCGCGTTTAATTCGCAACTATTTTTCGTCACAGAAAATGCGGTACATATAATATTGTTTTAATAAAATATTTCGATACTCAGAACCTTTTGTGAATAAACTCCTTTATATCTCTAAAAATAACGAAGGTAGAAAAGTAATCAAAAAGTACGAATATCCAGCCCACCTTAAGCTGTGTCTACACTATATAATATAACATATTATAAAACAAAGTGATAAAACTTGTTAGAAAAATAGAAAGAAATGCTATATAACACGTGTTATATATGTATATGTTATCCATCAAGTGTGATGCCATTATTAATAATGAGATACGAAATGTTGTACAAACTTGTTACAAACTTGTTCAAAGGTGTACCTTTGTAATAAGTTATAAAAACATGTTACACAACAAATTTATATAACAATTTGTTAGATAACGCACTGTTTTGCTATATAGTGTAGACACAGCTTTATATTTAACTAATTGTAAGTCAAACAAGTGAAC